CCGGGTATGTCACATAACCTGCTTTCTGGAATACCCCTCTGGTTGCTTATTTATCTCGCGAGATCTGGCAACACTGTTGTGAACGCGCATTTTAAGGGGAAACCTAGGGAAATTGAATTGCCCAGAACACCTGTCTGTTCCCATTGAAGGGCCGAATACTCAGCTGACGTCGTCGTGTGGGCATATTCTGCATTCGGTTATCTCGGCTAAGTCGTGGTACCTACACGCTTTTATTTTACTTTCATCTATTTTTTACAGGCATGGTTCACCAATATTAATAAAGCGTGTAGCAGCCTTGACATAACCTAAATAAGGAATTAAGCTTCATCAAAGTTCGCGTTAAATATATGATTTGTTCAAATTCCAAAACATCTTTAATAGAGCACTACTTACACTAATAATGCGCACTTTTGAAAATGTTTCAATGCGAATGGGTCGCGACTGTCCGACAACTTCCCAGGAGATTCAAACGTATTCTTTAGTATTGTAGAAAAAAGGTGCGTTGTTATTCAAAATATAGTTTACTACACGTACAGTGGCCCATTCTGCACTGACAAATGTTTTTTGTGAAAAAATGACTGGTCAATATGAGCCTAGTTTGGTTCCTGTAGGTGACTTTTTTAGGTGTTTTGACCACTGTAATATTGACCATATATTGCCATGACATGTGGCCATAGATGTGAATGAAAACACATTTGCAAACACGTGTGATTTTTTTCCCCCACAAATCACGTTGTGTCAAAAACATGGATATTGTGATTTTGGAGGTTATTTCCATTTTTATTAAGGATTATAAAATGTATAAAACAGTGCTTTTTTCTCCCACCAACTGCCTGATACACACTGACCTATGACATGACTGACCACATTTGGTCAGAATGAACCTGGTTGGACCTGTTTATATGGGGGGTATTTCACGAAGCACTTTTAGTGAAAACTCACACACAACTAACTTCGAGTTAAGGGAAACTCGGAGTTTTCGGTTTCAAAAAGCCAACTGAGCCCTGTTATGTTTTCAGACATACAATGGTGCAATCACCACCAGTTGCCATCTTTTATTCCTCTGCTTAATCACACACCTTGTCCACTAGATGTCGCTCTTGACATATTACAAGCCCAACTCTGAGTTAGTTACCGCGGTAACATACCTCGCTGGCAGGTTTAATGCCGGTAACTCTGAGTTTCTCCTCTTTAAATGAACCGTCAGATTGAAGCAGGTACTCTCTCTGACATAGCGTGTCCTTTTCTCGAAAGACCGGTCGACATCGAAGCACAAATTATCCGCAGGAATCTCCGTCGAGAGAGGGGTGATCAGACCCCGTTTAGATATTTTATCATTTACAGATGATTTTCTGTTAGAGCGTTACCGTTTTTCCATCACAGACAATCATTTCTCTCAACAATATTCTTAGCCCCCATTTTGCTCGTCAAACACACCGTGGACATCCTCTCAGTTCCGAGCAAATTCTTTGTACAGCACTTCGCTTCTTTGCTAATGGCAGCTTTCTGTACAATATTGGTGACACTCAACACGTTTCCAAGGCAACCGTCTGTCGGTGTATGACAGGTTACTCTTGCGCTTAAACGTTTCTCTACAGTCTACACGTTTGTGGCATTTCCTGGTCACAGATGTACGTAGTAGAATTATCAAGGAAGAATTCCACAGAATTGCAGGTATGAAGTAATATATTTAATATGCTTTAAGATTTGAAGCAATAAACAATTGTAGGTTAAGACTAGATTAAATTTAAAGTTGAGTTACGCCATACAAAACTAGAAACTGACTGTAGTACCTGTTCAATACTTACGCATTCACTCGGTCAGCTATTTTCTGCCACGCTTGTTTCCGTTCTTTCGCGGCAGTAACTGTGTTTCCTTTTTTTGATATGGCATGCTCATATTCAGTATACGCCATCATTAATAATTCAAGTTCCACTGGTGTGAAATTAGAAACGCGAGATTTGTTTCCCTGTGTTACCATGGTGAATCATTTTCTCTGGATGCCATTGATAAGGCCTTTTATGTGCTCGTGCACGCGTGACAATCAGGGTTAATTGAACTCAGAGTTTTGTAAACTAATCGTTATCACCTGTTCTGAAACCAAAAACTCGGAGTTTGACAGCTCAGAGTTAATTAATCAACTCGAGAGTTCAAGTTTAAACCCAGAGTTTGCTAACCCCGCTTCGTGAAATACCCCCATGGTAAAGTTATTATTATTATTATCATTATTATTATTATTAATCGCGTTTGACAATAAAAACGCAAAGCATAATATCGGAAGATTTCGGGATGGGGTGACGTCATCCGAAGTCACAAATCACGAGCAACAAAAGAACACTCTGTTTACTAGTTTATCTTTACCGCGGCGTTTGACTACAGAAAGAGAGAAAAACCAGCTTGCTATAACGACTGCGTTAGCAAAGTGGTTTCTCTGAATTAGAAAAAAAACAGGCACAGAAATGGAAACTTCTTAATACAACTTGCAACATCTCTTTTAAACAAAACAGTTCAAATAAAAAATAAATTAGCCCATCTTATTCTTGGAGCTACGACATAAACGGGCTATTCGGACCCCATCCAAGCCGCTCCCTCAATAATAGTAATAATAACCATTATTAATTATCGTTCAAAATTTCGTAATATGGGCCGGTTTCTATGGTCGCTTTTGGTGACGTGTTTCTTCGGTGCCCGTCGTAACCGCCTATTTTGGTCGGTTTGATTACGCATTTCTTCCGCGCCCTGTGATGTACTGACCTTCTTCGGCGACTGATCACTAACTGCTCATATATCCTCGCCGGTGCGGTAAGCTTGGTTGTTCCTTAATAGATTGTTAGTTTCACTGTATTTTCCTGTTCCTTCTTGTTTCTTACGGCTTTAGTGCCTGATCGAGATTAAATTCGTTTATATTGGGACAGATGTCCTTATTTCAATGGAAAGATTGTCTCAGCCAAAGGGGGTGTTTTACTGGCCCATAATAATTGTTTCTCTTAAACGCTCAGGGTTTGATACTGATTAAAAGACAAGCGGTAAAGCGGTTTAGCCGTCGACTATTCTCGTTTTCTCATGAAGAGCTGTCGTCGTTTATTATAAATGCCCGTTTCGAATGTATTGTAGCTTCTCTTGGCTCCAATCAGTTTCTCTCCGTACCAGATCGGCTTGAAGACGCGGGGTCAGAAACTCAAGGTTAAGCTCGATTTACGACTGGCCGGCTGTGCTCCTGAACCTGCTGTCCCTATGTTCAGTGCTAAAGGGATGTTAAACGGAATAATGAGCCGTCATTGACCTGCTAAAAGAATATTTTGAGAAGGGTTTTTCAGGGCAGCAAATCCATAATATTTTGATTAATTCGGTGATTCGTAGACTACCTGTATCTGGCGATAATAGGACCGTTTCACACTGTGTCCTTTCAGCTAGTGACCTCAGAACTGATTGCCATCACAGCCTCCCGCTGACAGGCCATCGTGATAAGCTCCTTTCCCTGAAGGAAGGTGTCCTACTCTATGCTGACTGTATGATGTTTCTCTTTTTCAGACAGATATGGGTGACATAGAGAAGGGCAAGAAAGTGTTTGTGCAGAAGTGTGCACAATGTCACACAGTGGAAAGGGGAGGGAAGCACAAAGTGGGCCCTAATCTGTGGGGTCTATTTGGCCGTAAAACTGGTCAGGCAGATGGCTTCTCCTATACAGATGCCAACAAGACCAAAGGTAAGTGGGGCAGCCATGCACATGGCCTAATTTCTGGGCAGAAAGCTCAATGTTATTGCTGATGACATAACCTTATAACTGCAGGCATCATCTGGGGAGAAGATACCCTGATGGAGTACTTGGAAAACCCCAAGAAGTACATCCCAGGAACCAAGATGATCTTCGCGGGCATTAAGAAGAAGGGAGAGCGTGCTGACCTCATTGCATACTTAAAGTCTGCAACATCTTAGGGCTCCTATAGATTTATATACCTCTGTGTAATGTTTTACTCTAATAGTTTTAAAAGTAATAAAAGGCTAAATATCTGTTGTCTGGAGTCAACTGACTCAACTGCCTAGCATGCTAAAGAGCAGCCATAGGGTAAGGAGGAAGATGTGTTGTGCATGTCAGTGTAAAAGGGGGGTTCACTGTGGGCACCTGGCTGCCAGAGGGCTGTGTGTTTGTGACTCACTTAAACAACCCATCCCCTAGCCTAACTGATGAAAAGTATCCACTGATGCTGCTTGATTAAAACAGGCCATTTATTATGGCTAAAGCCAGACGCTTCTATAACAAACTGATTACACTGCCAGGTACGTGACCAAACAGCCACACACAGGTGCACACACATATCTGCGCAGCCACCCATACCCACACACACAGCCTGTCAACCAAAGGTGTTCACAGGAGGTTTCTGTTGCCAAAGATGTTTTGTGGGTCCAGATGCTCCTTCACAGACCTCAACATCCCCAAACCCACTTTGGAGATGGTCTCCTGCATCCACTGCTTCCGGAGTTTTCCCACTGAAGAGGGGGGTAATCAAATTTCATCTTTAGGAACAAACCCCTGACCGCTACTTTCACTGCAGCAAACAGACTAAACAATCAACTCCCTTCCTCATGATAGAGGTACTCCCCTCACACCAGCCACTCTCAGCAGTTTACCTGCTGTTTTTTGATTGCCTGTACAGCAGAGCCCTAAGTTCCCCAGCTATGATAAAAAAGCAGCTTCCTTACTATAGCACAGGCCATGAGGGCTGAACAAGGTATCTAAGAAAGGGTCTGCCTCACACTAAGAGACATGAGCCAAGGCTGCAGTGTGTGTGTACCTCCATGATGGTGTGAGAGACTTCCTCCGCTGGCAAGAATCTCCTCCCTGGCAGAATGCTGGTGAGAACAGGTTGAGAGAGATCAGAGAGCAGTCACCCTGAAACAGTCTGTCACATCCAGAGCATAACACATCAGGACCTCTAGAAACTAGGGCCCCCCAGACTCATCTTCACCTTCTTGTACATGCACACTGGGGCCTGTAGAGCCCAAGACCCCCTGACTCACCTCCACCTGCTCGTACAGGCGCATTGGGTCCGATAGGCCTCTGTAGTTGAATGCAAAGTAGAAGTACACACAGGCACCAGCATCATAGATTTGGGTCACTCTATATGAGCAGATAGAGCAAGAGCGAAAAACCTGTTAGCACAGCAGACGGCACTACTCATACAGTTGAGTCCATAAATATTTGGACAGTGACACAGTTTTCATAATTTTCGGTTCTGTACATAACCATAATGGATTTGAAATTAAACAATTGAGAAGCAGTTGAAGTGCAAACATTTGGCTTTAATTCAATGGGTTGAACAAAAAATATAATATACAAATGTTAGGAACTGCAGTCAGTTTTATACACAATGCCCTCATTTCATGGGGCTCAAATGTAATTTGACAAATTTAATATAAATGAAAATAAGATTCATTTGCAGGCAATGACTGCCTGAAGTATTGAACCCATGGACATTACCAGACTCTAGGTTTCCTCCTTTGTAATGCTTTGCCAGGCCTTTACTGCAGCAGTTTTTGTTGCTGCTTGTTTGTGGGTCTTTCTGCCTGAAGTTTAGTGTTCAGGAAGTGAAAAGCATGCTTGAATGGGTTGATATCAGGTGATTGACTAGGCCAGGGGTACCCAATCTTATCCGCAAAGGGCCGGTGCGTATGCAGGTTTTTGGGATAACTTGTAGGTCAGCTGTTCAAACCCAGGTGTGAGGATTCTTTCAGCCAATCAGTCCTCTAATTAGTAATCTAATTAGGGAGTTGCAGCAAAAACCCACATACACACCGGCCCTTTGCGGATAAGATTGGGTACCCCTGGACTAGGCCACTGGAGAATATTCAATTTCTTTGCTTCAATAAACTCCTGGGTTGCGTTAACTGTATGTTTTAGGTCATTGTCCATCTGTACGGTCCAATCAACTATGCTGAATTTGTGCAGACGGTGTGTCTTTGTACACCTCAGAATTCATCCGGCTGCTTCTGTCCTCTGTCACACCATCAATAAACACTAGTGATCCAGTACAACTGGCAGCCATGCATACCCAAGCCATCACACTGCCTCCACTAGGTTTTACAGATGATATAGTATGCTTTGGATCATGAGCTGTTCCATGCCTTCTCCATGCTTTTTTCTTACCATCATTCTGGTATACAGTAGATTGATCTTAGTTTCATCTGTGTAAGAATGCGGTTCCAGAGCTGTGTTGGCTTTTCTAGATTTTTTTTTCCAGCCTTTCTATTCTTGTGGCTTATTAGTGGTATGCACCTTGCGGTAAAGCCTCTGTATTTACTTTCATGAAGTCTTCTCTTTATAGTAGTCTTGGACATTGATTTGCCTACCCCCTGGAGAGTGTTCTTCACTTGGCTGGATGTTGTGAAAGGGTTTTTCTTCACCATGGAAATGATCCTTTGATCATCCACCACTGTTGTCTTCCATGGACATCCAGCCTTTTTGTGTTGCTATGGTCACCAGTGCATTCTTTTTTTCCTTAGAATGTACCAAACTGTAAAATTTGCCACTCCTAATATTATTGCAATTTCTCTGATGGGTTTTTTTTCTTTTTTCACAGCCTAAGGATGGCCTGTTTCACCTGCTAGGAGAGCTCCTTTGACCCATGTTGTGGGTTCACAGCAAAATCTTCCAAAGGCAAAACACCACACTTGGAATCAGCTCCAGACCTTTACCTGCTTAATTGATTAAATAATGAAGAATTTGCCCATACCTATCTTTTTTACTTTTGATCCCTTAAAAAAACAAAAAACAAAATTGTGGTACATATTAAATAACTAATTCCTAAACCCTTCCTCCAATTTGGATGAGGGTACCCTCAAAAGTTTACTTGAGATTTTTGCAAATTTATTAGAAATAAAAAAAAAGAGAAATCACATGTACATAAGTATTCACAGCCTTTGCCATGAATAACAAAATTGAGCTCAGGTTTATCCTGTTTCCACTGATAACATCTCAACTGTGTTGAGATGTTTCTGCAGCTTAATTGGAGTCCACCTGTGGTAAATTCAGTTGATTGGACACAATTTGGAAAGGCACACACCTGTGTATATAAGGTCCCACAGTTGACAGTGCATGTCAGCACACAAACTGAGCGTGAAGTCAAAGGAATTGTCTGTAGATCTCTGAGACAGGATTGTCTCGAGGCACAAAGGATACTGCCCAAGGATATGTGTGCCAAGCTTGTGGCATCATATTCAAAAAGACTTGAGGCTATAATTGCTGCCAAAGGTACATCAACAAAGTATTGAGCAAAGGCTGTGAATACTTATGTACATGTGATTTCTCAGTTTATTTTATTTTTAATACATTTGCAAAAATCTCAACTTTTCACATTGTCATTATGGGGTGTTGTGTGTAGAATTTTGAGGAGAAAAAAATTAATTTAATCCATTTTGGAATTAGGCTGTCAGATAATGTGGAAAAAGTCATGTGCTGTGAATACTTTCTGGATGCACTGTACATCATGGAACAGAGCATCTACCTGCAGGTAGACAGAGGGGGGAACTGGACTCCTCTGTCCTTGCATTCCCTCTCTATCCGCTCCTTGACATTCCTGCAAAGATCCAGAACCCTGGAATACAAGATACCACAAAAGAAACACAGACATCACTGCTGATGCCTACAGAGCTAAAATGGCAGCCAAGGAGCTGATTGGCACACAGTTGGCTAAGCACACAGCAGCATCCACCTCAAATGGAGAAGACTAAGACAACAGAAGCCACGGTGCAAATGATACAGGCAGTCTCACCGATCCCAAGGAACTGACGTCTCAAATGACTCTCCAATCACATAATATTCCATTCCCAGGTCCTGTGGGAACAGAAGCAGGCCATCATTGGCCTGCAGAGACATCCCACATGCAAAAGGCAAAGATATACAACTATACATGATGAGTTTTATCGGCATCAGAAAACAATGATAAAAATCACAAGCAGAGAGACTGAGTGACTCAGACCAGATTATTAACTAGAGTACCCAGAGGAAAAAACATGCAAATTCCATACACATGGAACCCTGGCAGAGACCTGAACCCATATCCCAGAGGTTTGAGGCAACAGTGCTAACAACTGCACAACTGTACTGCCTAATCTATAGTTATATAACACAATAGTATTTAAGTATATACAATGTATTTTACCATTATGCAGGATTCAAGTGACATCTGCCTTGTCAGCACACCTAGCAGGCAAATCAATTAGGCTAAACGATTTGATTTTCAATCAAAATGAGTAAAAAAAAATTGTTCAAAGGAAGCCGTGTGTCCCTGCAATCCTAGGGTAACACTAAACTTTCAGTAAATATTACCATTAATAACTAACGTTTACACCATATCTGTTGGTTAGGCATATCTGCATATTTACAGAATTGTTCTGAAAAGCCGATCTGTTCTTAAACACAAAATGGGTTATTATTCTCAATCTCATTACCGTAACAAATCAATTTCCTCTAGTTTTTCCCAAATAAGACTGATGACAGACATGTTAAATTGTTGTCTAATAATGTTGACTTTGCCTCTGTTGTTGTTTGTCAGTTTTGGAGTAAAACAATTGACACCGTATCGTGGTAGAGGGGTTTGCATGTTCAAGTGATCCCAGGAGCTAAGTTGCCCGGGGCTTTATGCCCCTGGTAGGGTCACCCAAGGCAAAGAGATCCTGGGTGAGGAACCAGACGAAGTGCGGCTCAAAAGACCCCTTCTGAAGAGAAACATAATGGATACACGTTTTCCCTTGCCCGGACGTGGGTCACCGGGCCCCCCCCCTGGAGCCAGGCCTGGGGGTGGGGCTCGATGGCGAGCGCCTGGTGGCCAGGCCTATACTCATGGGGCCTGGTCGGGCACAGCCCAAACAAGGCACATGGGTCCCCCCTCCAATGGGATTATCACCTATAGGATGGGCCATAGGGGTTGGGTGCGATGTGAGCTGGGCAGTGGCCAAAGGCGGGGACCTTGACGGTCCACTCCTTGGCTGCAGAAGCTAGCTCTTGGGACATG